ACAACTCCATTGGTTAAAGAGTCATTGATGTTGTTTGGTCGAAGTGCGAAAATTTTCTTTGCGCAGTTTGTAATCATGTCAACGCAGCCAAGGGTCAGTATCTAGGCTGAAGAAATCTTGTCCAATGAATAAATTACCATGCAGGATACGGTATGTAGTCATCAGGTCACCACGTTCACGTCTCGATCCCAGGCAAGGTATTTGCAGTCTTCAAATTCGTTCTTCGTAGGGGATGTTCTTGAAATCACGGGGGATTTTACTGGCTCTTCTTTGACCTCCTTCAAGGTGATTAATGTCATGTCTGAGTAGGGGGGATAATAATTTCTCATAATTATCATGAAGTATTTACCCTAACTAGTCCACTGTCAAACACATTTTTGTACTCAGAACTCTGTTAATTTTTTGAATAGTTATTGATATTCACTAGATTTCATAACATAAATAACACGGGGAAACCCGTGACGAAATCACCAATGAATCATTTAATTCAACCATGTAAGTTTCCACTTACGTGTCCATTCTCTGTTTCTGTAAGACAAGTGCAAGAATATTTCTGATTGTCAATTTTATCAGAATATGAAATGAATTTTCTGGACTGAATACTTGGTGCAGATAACAGACAACACAACACACAACTGAAGAATCAGGTAATCTGAGGATTATCTTTGAATATTCGCAGAATTTGTTAGATTTGACTAAAAGATATGTTTTGAAGAATAAGCTGCATTCTTGGATTAGAATATGGTACCTCATGTAGGTCGTTTTTTGTACAACATGGACTGCTTACTGTACCCTCATTGTATTATTCATCATAGGAAGTCTTTGTGAAAAAAAAACATTAATATTAAACCTACTATAGAAGTCCATGTTGTCCCAAAGTGGAGTGAAGTAGTTCATATAGTAATAATACTCCAAGTCGTCTCCAGAATGTTTAATATCATCAATCATCAAATCATGAATAGAAAGGGGACATGTTTCGGATCTATAGAGTATCCATCATCAGCCGATTGAGAAAATTATTCTACAAAGAACAAACCAACAATAATAGGTGTTCACGCTGAATTCCCTTTTACGTTTGGCAACATCGCTTTTGGTTTTTGAAAGAGTTAACGCTCCGCTGAAATTTAGGCAGTCGATAGAAATTAAAATTGAACGGCGGTCGGTATTTTCTTGATGAGCATATATTTTCGAAGATCGATCAAACTGGTGGCAAATTCAAAGTGCTTTAGATTAATTTTATACGAGTTCACAAAAAAAGAAAGAAAGAAGAACAATCACCTCCTGAATTTAAATCCTATTTTTTTCCTCCTGACCTATCCTTCATTTTTCAACCTAGTGATTGATGCAAGAAGAAGAAAACCAACACAGGATCAATAATTTTCGGGTGAGTTGTACTTTACAATCATACAGTCCACTTATATCAAGTCAGTTGTGTAATTTTCGAAGGAACAATAGGGTATCAATAGTAAAACCTGGTAGTACTCACGTGGAGCGGAAAAATGTTTTTGGAATCACATGAAGTTACAAAAAAATATAACTTTATGAAAATTTAAGGAACTTTTGTTATTATAACAGGTTTTCTTAACAGGGGCCCTGTGCCCCGATGAACCAGTGGAATCGCCACATTAGGAGGCTGAAAGACATCCAAAAATGAAAAAACGTTTTCATCTTGATCTCGCTGGATTAACCTGACACCATGTGACCAAATGTCAATGTCAAACCCAACTCTGACAGACAACTGTAACTTCAGTTGTCAACGGTGATGCAAGACAAGAGACAATTGGTTCCATGAAAATCATGACAAACTTGTGGATGGTGACATTAGAATATGAAGATAGTAGGGGGAACAACCTAAGGTTAACAATGCTATGAGAATTTTGAAAAGGAAAGTTACACTGGAGACCAAAGCAAGAGGGAACAATAACACAAACATCAGAAACTCAAGGCATTAAAGAGTTTTTGGCAATCAAAATGGATTTGTTCATTCAGTGAAAGAATGTTTTTGTCCTTTAAAGATGAATTGATCTCGAAAATTTCCAACATATTCAGCAAACTACTCTTAAATAATATGTAAAATTTCCAAATCAGTATTAATGTTGAATGAGTGTTTAGGGTTAAGCACATGGTTAGCGAATGTACTTTGGGTATTGAAATCTTCGTCAATTGACATTGACATATGGTCACATGGTATCAGGTTAATCCAGCGAGATCAAGATGAAAACGTTTTTTCATTTTTGGATGTCTTTCGGCCTCCTAATGTGGCAATTCCACTGGCTCATCGGGGCACAGGGCCCCTGTTTAGAAAACCTGTTATAATAACAAAATTTCTTGTAATTTTCATAAAACTATATTTTTTTGTAACTTCATGTGATTCCAAAAACATCTTTTCTGCTTCCCGTGAGTACTATCAGGTTTTACTATTGATACCCTTTTATTGTTGCTTTGTTCTTTGTAGAATAATTTTCTCAATCGGCTGATGATGGATACTCTATAGATCCGAAACATGTCCCCTTTCTATTTATGATTCGATGATTGATGATATTAAACATTGTGGAGACGACTTGGAGTATTATTAACCATACATATAAACATTAATATTTGTTTACCAAAAACTAGGATGAAAACACATCTAATATGAACATGATCACACGTAACAGAAATAATATGAGTATTCCACAATATTCAACTGCTTTTTTCAAAAAATTACACATTATATAACAATAAAGTCTTACAACAAATCACCATCATAAATTGAAGACATTGAGAATCCAGCTATATTCACGAGTTCAGTCGTTTGTTTTCTATAGGAAAAAATGTATTATGATTTTGATTGTTCAAAATAATTCTTCCCTACTGCTATTTTTTTGGTTGTTCATAATGCCATTTTATTACTGGTTACATTGTTTGACGTTGCTATTGTCATTATAGATTTTTACAGCAATAATAGTTATTTATTAAACAAGGGAAAAAAGAAGATTTTAGCTCCAGGATTTCTTGTCTCCCGACGCGTAGCGGAGGGAGATAAAAAACCGTGAGCTAAAATCTAATAGGTATTTTTCCCGTGTGTAATACACTATTTTTATCTGTAACAGGAGAAAGGACGAATTAAGATTGAGAAGATATTACATTATTTTGAAATCTGAAAATTATCAATGTGAAATTTTAAGTTTTTAAAAGTAGGGACACCTGCGTTGTAGGCATCTTCATCATTCTTTTGAAGTAATCAAATATCTGATGTCACTTCTGTCAGTCTAATTCTGTGATTTGATTTCAAAAAATTGCGAATTTAGTGGTTGTTTAGTAATATACGTAGCCGCGAAGTCGAATGGAAGATAAAAGGACTTGCAGTTCTTTCTCGGAGACGGTATTATTGACTCATTTTTCGGAACTATAGCACAATAAAAGCCACCAACAGTGTATATATATGTGATATATATCCGGGAAAAAAGTACTCACTTTTTTCCCACGGAAAAAAAGGTATTTAAGAAAAGTGACATTTTATAACCTGCCAACACAGAAAAATAGTAATTTTATGAAAAGTGACATTTTGTATCCTGTCAACAAATTCAATTCAAAATATACTTTATAGTCGAAGAAAAAAATTCTTATTGACAAAGCTTGAATTTGTCTTAAATTTGAAATATATAAATGAAGTAATATATTGGACAACAGAAAGTATAAAAGTTTACATTAAGACAAGACCTAAGATTCTACAGAACATTTTAAGAATTGACATGGGTGAATAAATAATTTAAAATAATTCAAAATAAGGCGATTTCAACTCACAGGTTCAGGTACTCAAAATCTGTCTTGAAAATATTCTCCCAAGCTGTAATATGCTTTTGGAAGCAGAAGTTTTTTCACAGGCTATCGAAATGCTTTCAAGTCTGTCATACTTTTCAGTTCAGCTGGTAGATGATTAAAGATTTTCCGATTTTTGGTCACCGTTGAGGTTGGTTTTGGCAGAGGTATATTGGCTTTTTGAAGGGTGTCATATTTATTTTCTGAAGGAAACTTGTCTTCTTTTTTGAATGAGACATACTGTTTCTAAAATGAAGATGCAATACATTGTTAATATTAACAGTGGTCAACAGTGATCCAAACGCTTAGCTCGAGAAAAAAGTTGAAAGATAAAACTGTTTAACTTTTTTCCTACAAGCGTGCGCAAAGTAGTACTTTTCCGCACTCAGTGCGGATACGTAAAACATCCCAAAAATCTCACTGTTATGGAACATTTATATTCATTGTAGTTGCTGTAGACTATTGTATGCACTATAAGAAGCCGTTATCCCTTTTACTTTTCAACCGTTTTTCCTGATATTTGTATTTCACCTCAATACAAATATTATATTTTATTGATACGTAATTGTTTGTTGTTTAGCTATTTCTATCAAGTTTAACTAAAAATTATTCAATAAATTGTAATTTGAGTTGAAATTTTTTTATTTTCGTTGTTATCTGATATGAAGCTCGTAGGGAAAATGTGATTTACTGGGTGATTGTTAGTAGTTTCCGGATGAATGATGAATTCGCGAACCAAGTTTTCTTCATTGCAGGAGAAATGAGAAATGTAGTCGACGGAAAAATTTTGTAACCAACTTGTATATTAAAAGGCGATTAATGATCTCGAACATTAATGCGCTCGCTTCGCTCGCACGTTAAAATATCTCTATCATTAATCGCCCTCATTAATACACTAGTTGGTTAAATAACTATTATTGTTTTATGTGATTGTTGTATAGTTGCATTTTTCAATAAGTTATATATTTTTTTTATTTTCCTTTTTATCTGATATGAAGCTCGTAGGAAAAACGTTGTTCCTAACACGTGCGCAAAGTGTCTTTTCCGCACGCAAAAACTTATTCGAACTCCGCTCCGCGTCGTTCGCCCAACTGTATTTGCGTGTGGAAAAGTAACACTTTGCGCACTTGTTAGGAAAATATCTATTTCCCGTCACAGAAAAAAAAATAGTATTCTTATTGTCATTATTATTATTCTAGGTGATCAAAAAAATGAACCCTGAAACCAACATCGTCGCCCACGAGAACCGCGTCGGCCCCGAAACCGAAAGCATCTACAACGACGACTTCTTCGAGAACCTCGACGGCATAGCGAACGCCTTGGACAACGTCGACGCCAGAATCTACATGGACCGCCGTTGCGTCTACTATCGCAAGCCGCTGCTGGAGTCCGGCACGCTCGGCACCAAGGGCAACACCCAGGTGGTGGTGCCCTATCTGTCCGAGTCCTACAGCTCCTCGCAGGACCCCCCTGAGAAGAGCATCCCGATCTGCACGCTCAAGAACTTCCCCAACGCCATCGAGCACACGCTGCAATGGGCCAGGGACAATTTCGAGGGGCTGTTCAGGTAGGGTTGAAAGATGAATGAAATTAACCCTATGGTGTACAGGGTGATTCACCATAAATGTCCCACCCCCTCTAGCTCATTTATTTTTGAACCGATTCCAAAATTTGAAATATCATCTTAAATGATTTTCGATAAAGTTTTTTCCGCTACATCAGAAACTACAGGGTGCTCGGAACAAACGATCTACAGGGTACTGTTTGATTTTTTTAAATGGAACACCCCCCTATTTTTCATTGTATTTTTAAATTCTCCCTGAAGAGCTGATTCAATCAATGCATCATACTTGGGGTCTAGCGGGAATGATTAAAGAGATATAGGGTGTTCAAAATCGGGATTTTTCAACTTAAGGATTTTTTTTTAAGGAAACTATTCATTATCAGTCAAAACGGCTCTCATGTCCGTATCTTAACTTTTGATTAACTATCTACTGACATTTAATAATTGGAACAGATACAGGGTGATCAGAATTCTGAATCTTGAACCACCCTATAAATGTTCCAATTAAAAAATGTCAGTGGATAGTAAATCAAAAGTTGAGATAGGTACATAAAAGCTGTTTTGACCAATAATGAATAGTTTTGACACAAAAGAATCCTAAAGTTGAAAAATCTCGATTCTGAACACCCTATATCTCTGTAATCATTCCCGCTAGACCCCAAGTGTGATACATTGATGAAATCAGCTCTTCAGGGAGAATCTAAAAATACAATGAAATACAGAATTTTCCATTAGAAAAAAAATCAAGTAGTACTCTGTAGATCGTTTGTTCCGAGCATCCTGTATTTTCTGATGCAACGGGGAAGACATTTCTGAAAAATCATTCTAGATGATTTTTGAAATTTTTAAATCAGTTCAAAAATAAGTGAGCTAGAGGGGGGACATTTATGGTGAGTCACCCTGTACGCACTTCAATCTTTTCCTGTTTTACAATTCCTTGATTTTTCGCCTACTTTGATGAACATAACATGTAACGGTAAGATATCTACAGAAAAATAGTTTGCTTTGTAGGTGAAAGCTAAAATGTTGACATTTTTTTACTTCAAAAATAAATCATGTCCATCCAAACAAATAATAAACAAACATGTCAATTCCAAAATCCGAATTTCAACTCACAAGATCAACAGTCATGTCCAAGTGATTTTTCATTAATTCTTCTTCACTTGATGCAGTAATTTTAATTCTTCTTATATTTTTATGAAATGTCTTCTTTTTCTTCATTAATATACCGTCAAATATAACTTCATGGAGTCAAAAAACAAAAATTGAAAATAGTACTGGAATTGCCTTACAGCATCAACTTCTGTTTCATTATGCAGGTCTTTTTCTTGAACCTTACTCACTTCAGAACTGCGACAAATCAACTCAGCTTTTCTTAAGTCAAGTTGTGTGTTTTGTAGTAACCTTTCTTGAAGACCAGTGTCTAGGATACTACTGACGATCCCATCTCTAATTAGAGAGTCCTGGAGAGCTCCAAAGTTACACAGCTCAGCAAGCTCTTTTATCACTGTTAGAAAACTATCAAAGCTTTCACCCTCTTGCTGTTTTCTAGTGAAGAATTTATACCTATCATATGTCTCGTTTCTTAATGGTTCACAGTAGTCTTTGAAAGCTTTTACTACTACATTAAAGTTCTTCTTTTCTTCCGCCGTGAAAGTTCTGAATTTCTTCTGGGCTTCATCACCAGCAATATTAAGCAGAATTGCAACTTTTGTTTCATCATCTTTGGCTATCAGACCAGTGGCTTTTAGGTAGATATCCAAGCTGTCCAAAAATGTGTTCATATTATTATGGATGTCTTGATTGAACACCAGCTTCTTTGGCGCGTTGAACTTGGCTTCCATCTTTATTTTAATGTACCTACTCCTTTGTCAGTACGGTACAACTTTCAACACTTGTTATGCCCAAAATTTTATCGTTATGGACAATTTCAGATATTGATATGAATACCTGGCACCATGTATCATGTTATGGATATGGAATATTCATTATAGATTGTTAACTTTATTAATATGCTTTATTATAATATATCACATTTTATGTTACATGAGTCTCTCTTATGTCTCATGTAATATCCCTAATGCCAGGATTGCCAACCGTCATGTTAACAGTCATAACACTGTGGCCAACCTGTCTAAAGGGTGAACCTACATGTGACACCGACGAACCAAAGAACATGAGGTTATCACAGTTGATTTTACCAAAAAGTACGAGCCTGTAAGTTTGAAGCGGAAATTTCTCGAAGTTCACACTTCTGTGCCTTACGGTTTTAAAAAGTTGAAATTATCATAAAAATTGTTTTCAAATCACCACATCGTCCTGCTTTTTTTATATCAGACAGAGATGAACAAATTACGATTGAAGCTTTCAAATCAGTGTTCTATACAAAATTCGAACAAATAAAAGTTGCGTAGCGGAGGGAGACACAAAACCGTGAGCTGTTTCCTTTCTACTCATACCGTGGGGATGATTATGCAAGGAATAAAACCCATGCTCCTTAACTTATTATATGCAAACATAAACAGCTATACTCCAAAAAGGCATCTGATTTAACAACTTCATAGAAAACAATGAAATAAATTGTACCCTTTTTGTTGAAACTAAAACCAAAGAAAGCAGCAATACGCAATACAGGAACTGGCACATTATTCAAAAAAATGGACATCTAGACTCTAAAAATGAAAAAAGAAAATTCCCCTAGAATAAACAATCCCCTAAGCGAGGCTCTCCATTTCTCTATACCCTTCAGAGAAGATAAATTCACACTTCAGTAGAAATTGAAAATACCATATTCAACAAAGCTGCAATTTATAAATACTCCTTGATCATAGGCGATTCCAATGTTGACAGAACCAGAAAAAGACAAATTAAAAATTTTATTGAAAATTCAAATTTCAAAAAAGCTGAGACCTCCCCTACCTTTTTAATGCAAAATAACCCAGACAGCACCCCAGATTTGATATTATTTACGAGCAATATGGAAAACAGTATTGTAAATGTGGACACTTTGGCGGATCTTGGCTCAGACCATCTAGCATTTCAAATAACTATCGAACTAAACAGACTCTCCTGCAGTAAACGAGTACAAATTAAATTTCAACAAATGTGATATCGAAAAAGTTAACGAAGACATGGTGAGATTTGCAAGCAACACACAAGAAATGAGCAACGAGATGGTACAAGAGTTTAACAAAAACCTTGAAGAAGCTGTCAAAAACCACTCACCTAAAGTTGATATTAAATTCTATTTATACGAATTACCTCCCTTCATAATCCGTCTGATAAAAAACAAGCGCAGAATGTATGGGGAATATGAAGCATCACGTGATCCTGCTATTAAACAACAAATTAACTTATACAACAAAGACATACATAAGCTCATTAAACAGAGGAAAGAAATGGTTAGAAACATGCCAAGAAATTAACCAACAAGGAAGAAACTACTGGAACCAAATAAAAAAATGTTCCCGATATAAACCTCGTTATGTAATCCAACGAATGAAGAAAACGGTCAAGTATTCCACTCGGCCGAGGATAAATCAAATATCTTCGCTCAATTATTCGAAGAAAATTTCTCCAAAGCTGATAATCCCAGTTTTGACCAGGAAAACTAGAATTAGTGAAAAGATGGTACGAAGATTTCTTCGGAAGGGACATAGAGCTTCATGAATTCGAAACAGACGAAGAAGAATATTCCACTATCTTGCACAACCAAAGAAATTCTGCTCCTGGCAACGATAACATACCCTGGTCAATTGTCAAAAACTCGACTACAATATACATCTCTACATAATGAAAATTTATAACTTCTGCATCAAGAACCAATATTTCCCGGACATCTGGAGGAGGGGAACGATCGTTGTAATTCCTAAACCCAATGCGGACCATTCAAGAGCAAACCAACCAACCACTCTGCTTCCGGTTCTTGGAACGCTTTTGGAGAAACTGATTAAGAACAAACTGTCGGAATTGGTGAGACAAAAAATGCCACCATATCAATTCGGATTCAAAGAAAACTGTGCCACCCTCCATCTATTAGTAATTCTGGCATCTAATGTACAAACAGCGAGAATCAACAACCAATGTTTCAGTGCGGTTTTTCTAGACATCAAAAAAGCTTTTGATAGTGTCTGGCATAAAGGCTTATTATTCAAACTTCACATGCTAGAACTTCCTTCCTGGATAATACATTTAGTGAAAAGTTTCCTCTCATCAAGAAAACTTTCAGTAACAATTAACAAGGCTCTCTCCAATGAATTTTTTGCCACCCAGGGTTCGCCTCTGTCACCGTTGCTGTATAATATATATTGTGCTGACCTACAAGAAATACAACAACAGGTGGTAAATCAACAGACATACATATTACAATATGCAGACGATACAGCATTAATATCACATCAGCGAACCAAAACTGCCGCCATTCTACAACTCCAACAATTAACAAACCAAATCCATATTTGGTTCAACAAATGGAGACTTCAAATCAACCCTCTGAAAACGGAAATGATAATTTTCAATCATACCCCATCCATCAATTCTCCCACCATCATTATCAATAATCATCAGATTCATCCACGCTCCACTGTAAAATATTTGGGTATCCATCTTGACCATAAGCTGAATTTCAATCACCACACAGCAATGGCAAAAAATAAAGTTAAAGCAAGAGCAAAGCATTTCAAATCTTTAACATATAGAGACCATGGCATCAACATCAGCACTGCGAGTAGAATATACAAATCAATCTGCAGACCAATATTAGAATATGGCCACCCACTATATCTGAACATTAGAAACCCAGCAATGAAGAACCTGCAAATCGCCGAAACCTCCGCACTTCGAACCATCACTAGAATGCGACACCCAGACAATGTGCTACACATCCCACCCAATGATCTGCTATATTCCACGACCAAGGTGCAGAAGATACAGGAAAGACTACCAACACTGTCTAAAAAAGTTGTCTCCTAACCCGAGAACATGAATCTGATGACTCCACTGATAATATAAAGGACCAATGTTAGACCAAGAAACAAATTTCCAGAAAAGTCTCTGAAATCCCATAGATTTTATCACTTACCTGAAATCATCTTTTTTCAACAACAACTGTTTTCACTTTTCAATCCACTCAAAGGAGATAACATTTCAAAAAGAGATAAGACCATATTGACTGCAGGACTCAGGTCGAAGGCCACTTGATTGTATTGTATATTTGTTTACATTTACATATATGATCAATAGTTTATTCAGAAAGAATTACAATAGGTTTATAAAATAATTGAATGACATTTTACTATAATTAGAGCTACCTAAATAAGTTATTGCACCTAGATTACAAGCAATCTGTATGTGCAAAAATCTAAGAGGTTATGTTAGTTTCTCAACATATAAAGTAGTGAAATAAATTATTATTATCAATAATATTATCCTACAACCTACATGTACTCAAATGAAGAAATGCTAAGGGAATGAGAATAAATACACGAATAAAAGGAAGAAAAATCTTATGCACGAAATGCAGAGAATTACCTACATTAGTTTTACAAATGTTTTATAGTTACTGTAGATGATTTGCTTACATTTTTTTACAAATGCATCATATTTAGAAATATTTCTTATGTGAATTGGTATAGAATTGTAAATTTTTGGAGCTAGGCTCGTAATGAATCTTTCGTTTATAATTGTGGTTTTGTCTAGAATCGTGTTTTTGAGACACTCTATAAAGTCATTCGCTCTACAGTGTTTGCAAAAGAATTTTAGTTGTCGTTCTGCAAGAGGCATGCATCTTACCTCAGATGTTGTTAGTTCAGAGCAATCTCCACAGTAATATGTGTTGCACGAATCACAGGCAAAGACGTAAATTGTGTCCTCTTTGTTTTGTTTCTTTTTGCACTTTATGCAGGTATTATCACCCATGGTTATTTCTCCTCATAGATAGGAAAACTGTTCACTCGTAAAGTAAAATTTGTAAAAAAAAATTGTAAAATTTGTATATCGCTACTTCAAAGTTGGGAACCAACTCCCCAGAAGTCGAAACTTGTGCGGGGTTAGGAAGAGCGGGACCTACAGCTTATAGTGGAACTCGAACCACTTCTAGGGCTTTATCATCATTATTAAAACTCATAAGTTTCGGTATAGTCTTGAAATTCATAACATTTGAAAAAATGTCATATACTTCATGAACATTTCAATTGAAATTTCATTTCATAACTAAAAGTGAGATTTCCCCAACCCCACGTTCAGGCAGAACGCCGAGAACGCGTCCCAGTACTTGACCGACCCGGATTTCATGGACCGCACGTTGAAGCTGCCGGGCGTGCAGCCGCTGGAAGTCCTCGAGTCCGTCAAGTCCGCTCTGGTGGACGAGCGGCCCGAGCGCTTCGAGGACTGCGTCGCTTGGGCGAGGAACCATTGGGAGGACCAGTACGCCAATCAGATCAAGCAGCTGCTGTTCAATTTCCCGCCGGATCAGCTGACCAGCACCGGGCAGCTGTTTTGGTCCGGGCCGAAACGATGTCCTCAGCCGTTGACGTTCGATGTCGACAATGCTTTGCATTTGGACTACGTGGTGGCCGGCGCCAATTTGAAGGCGCACGTTTACGGTTTGCCGGCTAACAGGGATCGGGCGTATATTGCCGAGGTGCTTAGCAAAGTTGAGGTGAGTTTATTCTATGGTTTTGGTGAGGGTTTTACTTCTGAAGTCACTTATTGTATATCCTATTTAGTCTTGGTTTTATTGAAAACACAATCTATCATATCTAAACAACAGGCATCAACAAGTTAAAATACATGAATATCTCAGTGATCCCTGTTCGGTGGAGTGTGGTGTGCCACAGGGCACTGTGCTGGGGCCAATACTTTTTATAATATATATAGACAGCTTGACCAGAGTCTTATCTGAGGGAAAGGTGATTTGCTATGCAGACGACACTGCTTTGCTGTTTGAGGATGACTCCTGGAATTTGGTGTTTAATAAAGCTGAGACCGCCTTATGTTTAGTGAAAAAATGGCTTGATAAAAACCTTTTAACCCTAAATGTTGATAAGTCCAACTTCATGTATTTTGCTTCAACAAAAAAGAACCTCCCTGAAAAAGAATCGCTGATATTTCATAAACCCAATTGTGAAGAAATGAATAATTGTCAATGTAATTTAAAAATTAAATTTAATAATAAAATCAAGTATTTGGGAACTTAATTTGATCCACACATGAAGTGGAACTATCACATTGAATATGTTGTATTAAAAATTAGAAAGTTATATTATAAATTCTATCAACCTCGACAAATTTTGGATAGGAGCGGCATTATCAATATTTATAGGGCTTTGGTAGAGTCTGTGTTATCATATGGAATCTCCGCCTGGGGTTCAGCCATGACTCCTTTAAATGTAGCACAAAAATACATTTTAAAAATTATAATGTTCAGAAATAAAACATTTCCTACTGACAAACTCTTTGAAGATGCAGGTGTTCTTGACATTTCTCAATTATACTTAAAATCTGTTGTAAGATATCTATCAAAAATGAATGTACCGAAAGTTAATCATGTTATAACAACTAGATCAGTAACAAATGAAAATGTAATTGTTCCTACTACATCTTATGTAACCATTCAACGAAGTATATTTTATATAGGACCAAAAATATATATCATACTGCCAAACGAACTCAAATGCAAACCATACAAAAAAATCAAAAATAAAATATCATCTTGGATTTTAAAAAGCAACCCCAATATCTAGTTATAAGTTTGACATATATTGCATATATTGTATATATTCAGATTTTATATTACATTAGTACATATTAGTCCAGATAGTATAGTATATATAGTATATAAGACGATTCATTAGCAAATCCACTCATAGGTGAATTGTGTTATAAATGAACCTGGTGCACACACAAGCTTTTAAAGCTTATTTTGTACCTGAATGTATGAATTTTTGAATCCTACCTCAATTATTTTTACAGAAGATACGGGGGTGTAACCATAAGAAATGTGACACACTGAATATATTTTTGCGAATATATCTGAAATTGTGGAAGGAAAAGGTAAGGTTATATATATTTGTAATGAGAACGCCTGGGACTATTCAACTGTGCCAAAATATACAGGGTGTTCCATTAGAAAAAATATAATTGGCTGCCGTATCTTTTCAACGTCACCCTATATAAAATTTGTGATGATGCCAATGGATTCCACGCATCATACTGTATAAATATACGTTTGGAATTTTTTGATACCTCTCATCGTAAAGTGGTCAGAAAATAAAATCGAAATCGGCAAATTTTCAATTTCCCCCTGTATCTCTGAAACGAATGAAGATATCGAAATTTGGATTGTGCCATTCAGGGTTTCTCAAAAATCGAACCCGGAACATGTATATCGGTTCTTCGATAACTCCTCTAGTTATTGAGATAGACGGTGAAAACGCCTAATTTTGCCCACCCTGTACTTCATTGTTCGTGATTAGAAGGTTTTCTAAATATGTTGGTTGCAATTTATTTATTATTTTAAATATAAATATCATAGTTAGATAGTAAAGTCGTTGAGAAACTGTAAGCCATCTTAATCTACAAAGCATATCTTGTATAGGTGTCATTCTATTGCAACGAAGTATTATTCGCATTCCACGATTCTGTAATTTTTGTAATTGGTTTAATTTGTTCTGATTAATAAGATATAAGAGAGTACCGCAGAAATCATAATGAGGTTTTATTATGCAAGTATAGCATGTTATTTTGGCATACATTGATAGTGAAGATGACACTCTTGAGAAAAAATACAATTTTTTTGATATTTTACTTATTACATAGTCAGCATGATCATTCAATGAAATTGTGTTATCCACAATAAATCCTAGATACTTAAACTTACTCACAATTTCTACATAATTTTCATTTATTTTGATTTTGACTTGATTCCTTTCAATGTTATGTTGTTTATATTTTGTTGTAATGATCATCGCCTTAGTTTTATTGATATTTAGTTTCAGTTTATTTGTTCCAAGGTACAACTCAATATTTTCCAATGGATTATTCATCTTTTCAACAGCGACTTGCAAGGTTTTATCATAGGTATATATCAACGTGTCATCTGCAAAAAGGTTAATTACGTTATCTCCATGTACGTAATTGATATCATTTATACCTGCCTTGTGGTACTCCAGGATCATTTTTCATATTTTGCGAGTAGCACCCATTAATTTTCGTTATTTGACTCCTAAAACTGAGATAACTCTTCAACCACTTCAAAACTATATCACCAATACCATAATATTTCAGCTTTTGGATTAATATATTTCTGTCTATTGTTTCGAATGCCCTTTTTAAATCCAAGAATGTAGTAACAACGTAATTATCTTTATCAATTTTTTTCTTTCCAATTTGATATTGTATACTGTAAGGCAGACTCACAGGAATGTTTTTTTCTGAAGCCTGACTGACAACCTAGGAATAACCCGTTTTCATCAAAGTATTTGACGAGTACCTCATACACTGCTAATTCCAAAACTTTTTCAAGGTTTGGAAGAGTATTGATAGGACGAAAATTACACGATTCTATAGTATTATTTATTTTCGGTATTGGTATAACAGTGCTTGTTTTGAAGTGTTGGGGAAATTGTCCAGTTTCAAGAGACGTATTTATAAAGTTCAGTATTACATGTCCTAAGGTGTTGAATGTCTCTCTTAGAAATTGACTGTTCATTATCTCAGATCTATTAATCTTGTCTATTGAAAATATTATATTTTTCAACTGCGGCAAATCTAGCTGTTTAAATGAATTCAATTCACAATTAACTATATCAAAACTGTTTGAACTCCAGTCTGAATCAGAATTTATATTGTTCACAATTTCACTGATGACACAACTCATATTTCAGTTTCTATATATCAACGGCGCACATGAAAGTCTTCACTTCGCAGAAAAGAATTGTCAGTCTACTATTTGAGTCGGATTTCCGTTAGTCATGTAGATCAGTATTTAAAGAGCACTCTATTTTAACTTTCCATTTAATTTTTATCTTTGAATGTTTAACATGTGAAAGACAACATTTTGGGAAGTAATCATTGCTACCCATCAAGAAACTTTATTTTGGATATACCAAAGCCAACCTTCAAAAAGGTCAACCTGTATAGCTGCATTTCTCTATATAACAATTGACCAAAACATTTGAAAGCTATCAATAGTTCACAGTTCAAAAACGCAACAAGAAAATTCCTATTAGAAATCTGCTTTTAATCAATGGAGGAATGTAGTCCTCATTTGTGAAGAACTTGGCAGTCTTGAAGGTTTTATTTGAATAGATCTGGCTCGATGGACCAATATGTTTCGATGCTCTTTATTTATTGATTTTATTGATAAATCGACACGTCATCATGTTAATACCAAATGAAAATTTCTTATACCATTTTTTATGAAGTGCACAACCAAAATACAGATAGTGCCGAAAGTTGGTGCATGTTCGGTAATCATTTTAGGTGCACTTAGAATGGTTGCAAGTCAAACACCATACAGGGTAGGTCAAAAATTTTTGAAATTGCTCAAGAGTAAAGTACCCTCATTTCGGAAAATTCAGTCGAATGTTATTGAGAAAAGTTGTTAACAATTGAAAGCTATGCCTAAATACCAAAGCATGGCCTCCTAAGACATTTTTTAGTTTTTCAATTCTTTTCGTTAATAATTTCTAATCATAACATCAGTTGAGAATACCTTTGTTCAAATTCAAGAATATTTGTGCAATCAACTTGGATTTTAACTTTTTTAAGGAATCACAAACTTTATGTTTGTTGCAACGATATTCAGCTTAACTTTAAAATTTCGCAAACCATATTTTCAAGAAGGAAAAACATCATTAGATGAGAAGTTTATGTCACCAAACTGTCTTAATGTTTACTGTCAACCCTCATTTGTTTGGTTCCTTGGGTATTCGTGATTATTTTAAATGATATCATGGTTGTCGATTGATTTGTACAGCTTTTTCATAAAATTTCAAATACAAAATGTTCACATTAAATGAAAGTTTTTGAATTTGCAAATTATCATAAATGATTTTTAAATTTTTAAGCTAAGCTAAATATCGTTGTAACAAACATAAAGTTTGATTCCCTAAAAAAATTAGAATCCTAGTTGATTGCACAAATATGCTTGAATTTGAACAGAGGTATGATCAACTGATTTTGTTTTGATAAACTTATGGAAGTGTTTAGGAATATAAAAAAAATTACAAATTGTGATATTATTAACGAAAAAAATTTAAAAACTCAAATATGTCTTAGGAGGCCATGTTTTGGTATTTTGGCATAACTTTCAATTGCACACAACTTTTCTCATTAACATTTTGCTGAATTTTCTGAAATAAGGGTACTTTACTCTTGAACAATTTTTATATTTTTTGACCTACCCTGTATGCTGTTTGAGTTGCAACCATTTTAAGTGCACCTAAAATGATTACTGAACATGCACCAACTTTCGGCACTATCTGTATTTTGGTTGTGCAATTCATTAAAAAGATTCCCATATGTTGCACACCTAAATGACCACACTGTATAGGGTCATTCAATTACTAAACATATCGCATTCCCAGGTACCAGAATTCATTCCGAAGTCGGGCGTCAAGATCGCCGTGACCGACTCCCAGATGGCGATGAACGGCAACAACGTCGACCTGGACCGCGTGTCCCAGATCAGAGAGGAGCTGCCCTCCGTGGAGGAGCTGAACGGCCTGCAGTTGACACCGCTGGACTTCGAGAAGGACGACGACTCCAACTTCCACATGGACTTCATCGTGGCCGCGTCGAATCTGAGAGCGGCCAACTACAAGATACCACCGGCCGATAGGCACAAGTCCAAACTTATCGCAGGTGAGAAGAGTGATTTGTTCATTAATGTTCCAAACCAGTACACTCAAGGTTGTCAGATGTTACTCGAAAAACGAAAGAACCCAACTCTGACAATATTCTTTTTGAGAAGAGGACGTGACGTGACGTGAAAATACACATTTACATTCCACGCATTGCACCTCACTATTGTCATTATTATTATAGTCTGTTTAATGAATGTAAATTCTTATTTTAACTCGTCGTTCAAGATACTTACCCTTTTTTCGTTTTGGCGCCATGGCAGCGTTCTGGGACTATTGTATGGCAACATCCTTGAAAGCAGTTTTAATATTGCAAAAGCCGGCCGTACGATACATTTGTAATGCAAATAACAATAATAATAATAATAATAATAATAATAATAATAATAATAATAATAATAATAATAATCGGCTCTATCCGGACCATTCTGTGGAATTGGTCATCCTGATTATCGGCTCCCTAGGAGGCACACGACACACGCTGCTCTCTGAGATCCAGAAAATCCCAGCGTGCCGTGATAAGGCACACATCCTGGCTGGTGGAATGCAGAAGGCCGTCATACTAGGATCATTGCGTCTACTCAGGGCACACGGTACTTGGTCCCAGTGATTACTCACCTCACAGGCTGTGAGGAGTAGTCACTGGATTTTATCCAGCACGACTCTGCGTGACGTCGTAGGCCGCAGGGTCGTGGCTGGAATCATAAGAACTCAAATGATAATAATAATAATAATAGTAGCTTTATTGTCCAACAGTTACTCATTTACAGGACAATATTACAGATAATGATGAAGCATACCTAAATAAAGATCAGAATAATATAAGAAATAACGAAATTATAGCTAATCACATGGTTATCCTATGGCAGCAAATTTACAATTTTAATCAAACAACTAATGCTACAACTGAATATGTCACACATGTTTGCAATACAGTTATAGCTATTGCACATTACATAAATAGGCGAGTTAAGCATAATATTTGTATTAGCTCGTGTGTTTCTGAAGGTAACAGCATTGCGAGTGGGATAAGATGGCACATTAAAGTTTAGCTGTTCCAGTATATCGCTACAGTCTATCAAATTGTGTAGAATCTTGTAAAGAAATATAAGGGAGGCACAATCCCTCCTCATTTCTAGAGACATGAAATTCAGTCGTTCACATAGTTCGTTGTTATCGATACCCCTTCGGGGATAAATACCGTCAATTTTGAAAAGCAAATACTTTAAAAATCTACGTTGCACTCTCTCTACAAGCTGAATGCGAACTTCATAAAATGGAGACCATATTATACTTGCATATTCAAGTTTTGTTCGTACATATGAAAAGTACAGGAGTTTAATAGCTTTTATATTGGTCAAATCTCTGCTGTTTCTAACTATGTATCCATAAGATCGTAGTGCTTCAGACACTTTTGATTTTATATGTTTAGTAAAGGTGAGTTCCTGATCAAAAATCACCCCTAAGTCTTTGAATTTTTTCAACCGTTCCAATCTAGACCCATTAATTTCGTATGGATACTCAAAAGAGTTTGTTTTCCTCGTAGACAAAGATAATTATTGTTGCACCACGTATGCACATCATTCAGTTGAGTTTGAAGGTTATGACAATCGTCCTCGTTAATAATCAATGAGTATAATTTCAAATCATCAGCATAACACAAACAGTGAGTATCTATTGTATCACATAGATCATCAATGAATAACAGAAAGAGTAATGGGCCAAGATTCGAGCCTTGTGGTACACCAGACAAGGCACAGTACTTTTCGGATTTGAATCCATTGTAAGAAACGTATTGTACTCTGTCTGATAAATAAGATTCCATAAATTCTACTGCCTCCTTCGCAAATCCAAATTTTCTTAACTTATTCAGCAAGATACCATGATGTATTCTGTCAAAGGCCTTTGAAAAATCTGTGTAAATAACATCTACTTGGCCTATATTGTCCAAAGCCTCTGAGAGATATTGTGTTATAATTAGCAGATTAGTATCAGTAGAGCACTTTGATACAAATCCATGTTGATATGGGGACAATTGGTTGTTGATAGTTGAGTATATTCTATTATAGAGTATCACTTCGAGAACTTTCGACAGGTTACATATGATAGAAATGGCCCTATAATTATCTATACTGTTTTTTTCTCCACTTTTAAACAGGACATACCTTCGACTCCTTCCAAAGTGTAGGATATTTTCTGGTCTCTAGACATAGATTGAATATTATCAGTAATGGGCTGGTGAGTGCACCTATGCAATCTTTTACTAGAAAAGAGGGAAAGGTCCCCGAACATTGTAGACCCCTTTTCCTCTAAAAAAAATCTCCGCAGTGTGCTTATTTGTATTAGAAACAGACTGTTTGTTACATAAGAAATACAAGTGTCAGATAGGCAATAAAAATTATGCCATGTGCAACTTGTGGGACTTTTCTCCTCCAATTATTACTTTCTTTTGAAGGGTAGGAAGTTGTGGATATTAAAGTCCTTCAAATGTGATGCTGATATCCCTTTAACCCTGATGTGGAGGCTAAATATAATGAAGTTTGTAATGAAAATTCGAGTGTTCAAAGTGCCCCATTCATTTCAAAGGAATAGAACACTAATAGCGTATTCCACTGGATTGCACTCACACGGTATAGATGCGTATTTAGCTCCGCACTGACTTTGGACAGTATTCGCTTAGTTCGAACCCATCTAGAGCAGATGCATGTAGATAATGCGAATTATTCTGGCACCGTATGAATGAAGTTCAATATTGACATTATGAATATTCCACTGGTATGTTCAGGACAACGTGCTGTTCGATCCTAAGGCTAAATCAAGCTGGATCTAACCAAAGATCTAACTTCAAAATTGTCAAATTATCAAGTTATTTCTTAAATATCGAAGTATGGAGAGAATAATTATTTGCGGCATGATAATTATGGAATCATTCGGGTCGATTCTGTTTGCAAATAGTAATATGGTTGTAGAGAAGATATTGCTATCATAGCAAGAATCGAAAAAGTGGAATTCTGATCATAGATTTTTCGCAATATGATCTGTCAATTTCAATGTCATCTGGTCAGCTTTCTTGCTATCTCGACAACATCAATTTTGTGCTTGCTATTTTATAACAAGGTAGTGGATTCTTTGTTTTTGCACTACAAATTCTTCCAAGTGTATGAAAATTCAGAAAATATTGGATTAAAAACATATGTGAGTTCACTTATGTCACTGACTACTAGAAGAACTTTCCTCAAAGTTTCAATTTGTAGAAGAATTATTGAAAAACTTAGAATGGTGGTTACAAACATATAGGATAGATTCACTACTGTGACCAACTACTTGAAAACCTTTTCTTGAAATTCCAATTTGCAGAGGGAATATGAGACTACAATTTCGGCATATCAGAGAAACCAGAAAACCATTTCAGTTGCCTGATGGATAGTTTATCAATCTATTTTGCTAGAATATTCGAAAAAAAATCACGATCATTTTCATCCGGCTTTTAGGTTATTTTCTCATTTCGGGGACATGATTGATTACTTGCACCAGTCGCACAACGACGACCAGATTCATCGAATACAGAATCTCTCAATTTGAACAATATAATTTTGTATTAAAGTGTCAGTGCAGGACTGACTAATTTGAGAGGTTAGATAATCATGAACTCTTCTTCTTCATGAAAAAATGGCAAAATCGATACCTAACACTTAAGAAATTAGTTGAAAACAGTGTTGTCAGCTCAAAAATTCTCAATTTTTCAACAATATTGCTATCACTTGAACTTATAACCAATCTTGCAGTTACTCTGCAAACAGAATACAGAAGTTCATAACAATATTGTTGTATATTATGATCATAACAATATTGTTATCTTAGCAATGTTATAAGATCCGAACAGAATCGACCTGATTATGTGAATAATTAGAGATTTCAATATTGTATAGTATTTATAATGTAATTTTGTCAATCATTACTAATATAGCAGTTATTCCAATATTTTATTGAAATTTCTGGGTATCATATCAATTTTCTGCTGTCCTGCTTTATCCTTACTCTTTGATTATATGAATTCAAATATCATTATTGCTATTTATTTGGCCACTATCACAAACTTTCAGTCCATGACTTTAGCACCGTCAAAAATTATTGTGCGAAAACATTCAAATTAACAACGAGTGCTTTTACAAGTCGAACATAAATTCTGCTATACCCTTGGGTAGTACCTGTTCAGCCGAATATGAATATTATTGGTACTGTCTGAGTGCATACCACCCGAACACACACGCACGACAAAAATTGGAATTAAATGCGCCCTTGGGCCGCCAGTCGAATACGCTATAAAACTCCCCAAAGATCAGTGTTGGGCCCAATTCAGTATCTTTTATACATTCAAAACATCTCAAAAATGAATTTGCTATGCCATATATGCAGATGACACAGTACTTTTATTTGAAAACAAAAACCCTGTTATTTTAGTAAACAATACAAATGAGGATTTGAAGAATATGGAAGAATGGCTTCACTCCAATCTTCTTTCTCATAATTCTAATAAGACACAATATACAGGGTGTTTCAGTTTTTTGTAGCAGGACTTTAACAGCTTGAAGAAGACATTTTTTCAAGATGAAAATCTCAAACAAACATATATGCGTGGGGGCTTCGTTTCCGATTCACAGGGTGTCAAAGTTTCAGATTTTTTTTATGTTTTTTGAATTTTCTCCTACAATTTTCGGAATAATTGATTGAAATTTGGTACACCTAATACACTTCAAAAACTCAATATTTGAGGCTATTGAGCGTTTTTGAATACCCACAGGGTGATAGACTTTCAGGTGTCGTACCCAATTTAACCCTGTAGAACTTTTTTGCGTGCCGTCTCTGCTTTCAATGGGACATAGATTCAGATTGTCCTTTCAATTTGGGAACTTTTTGCCCCCATGTATGTTTTTCGAAAACTGTATGGATTTCGAGATAAATAAAAGTGGAGTCCGAACCTCTTCTAAAGGTACTGATAAA